AAATTTTCAATTAAAAATTCTCATTATAGAAATCTGAAATAACTGAAGAAACAAAGAAATGTTTAACATCTTTAGCCATCAAGGAAATACAAATTAAAACTCCTTTGAGATTCCATCTTACATCAGTCTGAATGGCTAAGATCAATAACACAGATCATGGTGGGAAGGATGTGGATTAAAGGGAGTATTTCTCCATTGCTGGTAGGAACACAAACTTGTATGGCCACTATGGAAATCAATATGGCAGTTCCTCAGAAAATTAGGACTTCATGTACCTCAAGATCCAGCTCTTTCTTTCTTGGACATATACCCAAAAGATGTTCTATCCTACCACAAGGATATTTGCTTAACTATGTTCATTGCAATATTCACAATAGGCAGAAACTGGAAACAACTAGATGTCCCTCAACCAAAGAATGGATTAAAAAAAAAAAAATGGGGAAACTTACTCATGGAGTATTACTCAACTGTTAGAAAAAAAAAATGGTATCATGAAATTCACATCCCAGGCAAGACAAAGATAATTCAGACCCAGAAACACAAACACAAATATGATATATATATATATATATATATATATATATATATATATATATCCACTTATAAGTGGATACTGCTGTAAGTAAAGAATGTTGCTACAGATTCAGAGAAGGTAGGTAAAAAGGTCTAGGAGGCACGCATGGATTTCCCTAGATATGGGGAATAGAATAGATTTTGTGGGTAGATTGGGTGTGGGTGGGGATGGGAAGAGGAAGAATCCGCTGGAGGAGGGAGGAACAGAGGAAGAGAATATAAGGAGTGAAGACTGAAATAGGCGAGCAATTGGATGCTATATGGAAACCTAGTGCAGTGACTTCCTGGAACCTACAAAGTTGACCCTAGGGAGGACTCCTAGTAATGGAAAATATGGAGCCTGAAACAGCCATCTTTTGTAACCAGGCTAGGCTCCAAGTGGTGGTATTGGGACACCAACCTAACCACAAAATATGACCATCAAACTTCCCTGCCTTCAAGATGTGCTCTGGCAATGATAGCGCAGAGCCTGTGGAAAGTCCAACCAAGGAGTGGTCTAACCTGAGGCCCATACCATGAGAGTGAGCCCATGCCCAATACTGCCCAGATGGACAGGATCAGGAAGCTGGATGGCTCAGAGGCTTATGGTATAACCAAGCATGACTGACAGAACAAACTAACAAAAAAGTGAATGAAATGATTCCTAATGATACATAGAATCAGTGCCTAGCTCAACTGTCACCAGAGATGCTTCTGCCAGAAGTCGATAGGAGCATATGCAGACATTCACACCAAAACATTAAGTAGAGCTTGGAGAACTCAGAAGAGGGGGAGGGAGGATTGTAGAAGCCAGAGTGGTAGAGGACACCAGGAGAACATGATTCACAGAATCAACTAAGCAGGATCCATAGGGGTCAGGGAGACTAAATTGACAACAACAGTACCTTGTGCATACCTGCTGTTTCTTTTTTATTTTTTTTCTCTTTCTTTTTTTCTTTTTTGTTTTTGTTGTTGTTGTTTTGATTTTTTTTGTTGTTGTTGTTGTTGGTTTTTTTTTTTTTTTTGCAGGTTTTGGCATCAGGTTTCTTTTTTGTCTCTTTTTTATTTGAAACAAGCTTGTTTTATATGTCAATCCCAGTTCCCTCACCCTCCTGTCCTCCCCTGTTTCCCCCCACCAACCTCTATACCAACTCATTTCTGCTCCGCAGGGAGGGTAAGGCCTTACATGGAGTGTCTTCAAAGTCTGTCATATCATTTGGGGCAGGGCCTAGGCCCTCGCCCATGTGTCTAGGCTGAGGGAGTATCCCTCTATTTGAAATGGGTTCCCGAAGTCCAATCGTATAATAGGGATAAATACAGATCCACTACCAGAGGCCCCATAGACTGCCCAGTCCTTCTAACTAACACCCACATTCAGGGGGGCTGGGTCAGTCCTATGCTGATTTCCCAGCTATCAGACTTGAGTCCATGAGCTCCCTGTTGGCTCAGGTCAGCTGTTTCTGTGGGTTTCTCCACCTGGTCTTGACTCCTTTGCTCATCACTCCTCCTTCTCTGCAACTGGATTCTGGGACTAAGGCTCAGTGCTCTCCTGCTGTGTTTCTTAAAGGGGGGGGGGAGGTTGTTGGACACCTAACAATGGGAACAGGTATGTCTCTGATTCTTTTGCTTCTGCTTGTTAGACCTATTTCTTCCTATTGGGTTGCCTTATCTAGCCTTGGTATGAGGGTTTATACCTAGTGTTATTGCATCTTGTTATGCCAAGTTCAGTTGATATCACTGGATGATCTGCTCTTTTCTGAAGGAAAATAGAGTAGCAGTGAATATGGGGGAAAGGGTTGATTAGGAGGAGGGAGAGGGGAAGAAAATAAAAAATAAGTAATTAAACTCTCATAAATTCTTTTGTTTATAGAATAAATCTTAGCTGTTTTTCATAGCAGATTATTTATAAGTTCATTTTGTACAAAGACAGCTTGACCAATAACTAATATTTACACAGTTCTTACTAAATGCCAGAATTGTCCTGGACTTTTTGTGTACACTGAAGAGGTTATTTGGTCTTAAGAGTTCTGTCTGAAGCAGGTACCTATTTCTCTTGCAATCAAATCTGACTCAGTTCCTGAGTTTAGTGGTAAGAGGTCAGATACGGTTCCATGAGCAATTTTGGATATCCAGAAAAACTGAATTATTTAAATCTACTTTATCTCCCTTACTTGAGTAAAATGGTCTCAGGTGAAAGGCCAAGGATTAAAGTAGCAAAGTTGGGTCTAACTTTAATCAATTGATTTGTTTATTGGGTCATTTTAGAGACAGGGTCTCACTATATGACCTTAGCTGACCTACATTTCACTGTGAAAACCAGGCTGGTCTCAGACTCACAGGAATGCTTTGACTCAGGAATACTTGGATTAAGGGCAAGTCCTATTCAAAAGGCAAGTGAAAGCCTTTCCATGCCCTAGGATAAGACCTTAGGAGTAGAGAAATCACAGTAACAATCATCCCAGTCCCTGCATGTCTCAAGGGAATGCACAGGAGTGGATGGAAAGACAGAAGAGCCAGAACACCAGGAAAGCAGCAACAACATGAGTAACAAAAAATGAATCCACAGTGCATGTTTCTAGAGTGTTACTTTCCTTCTAGCATAGGGAAAATTTCATTTTAGTCAACTGAAATTACAAAATAATCAAAAAACAAACAAACAAACAAAAATGGAAGAAAGAATGATATCTTGTGTCTGCGAGACAGGAAGCAGGCAGATCACTGTGAGTTTAAGCCTAATCTTGTCTACCTAGCAAGTTCCATGCCAGCCAGGAATACATACAGAGACCCTATCTCAAAACAAATAATAGGCATATTATTGCGGTAAATAAGGATCAGGATAAACAAATAGGCCGAATAGATGTTTATTAAGGGAGAAATAACTTACAACCTAGACAGATGAACACCAGGAAATTCAACCCGATCCTCTCCTGTCCGAGTCAAGCCAGCAAGAGAGCGCCTTCCTGGCCCCCTCCGACCTCCTTCCTCAGGTCACCTCCGCCCATCGCTCCACCCCCCAATGGGCGTGGTCAGTGCTACAGAAGGACTACCTCACTACAGGCATATCATGCAAGTCTTAAGACTCAGAATGCCAAGATAAGTGTGCAACTAACATCCCAGGAAATTAGACAGTGGTGGTGCTCTAAGGTGCTCTGGGATAAGTGGAATCAACAAATCTGGGTCTTGGTCATGATTTTATCACTCATTAGCTTCAAGACTCAGTATGAAGTCTTTTGCCCTTCGTCTTAATTACTGTCTTTATCTTTTTAAGGAGCTTAGGTGATATGACTGCTGTGGTCTTTTTGAGCTTCAAAACACTTCTGGTTTGTGACATTGTTGTAGAACTCCAATTGCCTAATTTGGGTGTCATATTACTTTTAATAGATATCAACTTTTTACTCAGCATAGCAGTTTCACATCATTGTGAAACATCCAGAGAGGTCCCAAAGAACTACTCAAACCTAAAACAGTTCAGATTTCACTCATTAAGCTACTATTTTTCACAGGTAAAAGTTTACCAACATTTCCAAATGTAAAAGACACACCACAAGAAACAGTTTAAACATGGATGTACTATCAAAACTCCTTTATTTCCTGTATGGATATTAGGATTCCCTAGGTATTGTTAGAAGATACTCCTTGTTATAAATTTAAAAGTTTTTGTTTTGTTTCATTTTTACTTAAGTGTGTGTTCACTCCTGTGCAGAAGCATAAGCATGTATGGGGAAGTCAGAGGTGAGAGTTCAACCTTGTCTATAGCTTCTCAGGAACACTGTCTAACTCGGTTTTGACACAGGTCAATCAGTGACCTGCAACTTGTCCATTTAACTACCCTGGCTGGCCAGTAGGCTCTAAGGATCCACCTTTTTCTGCCTCCCTAGTGCTATGATTAAAAATGTGTCAGCATGTCTCGCTTTTTTTCGGACATAGATCCTGAAGACTGATCTCAGGTTCTCATGCCTACACAGCAAGCACTTTTGCAGATGACCTATCTTCCCTGTTCCCTAAGTTGTTTCCTATATGAAAAATTTTCAATGGTTTTCTTCACTAAAGAAGTACTTCCTGGGACATAAATGCTTCTAAGGGAAGAAGTCAGACACAACATTCCCTTAAAGACACAGGAATTTCATAGTACCTACCAAAAGACCATTTTTTAAAAATCTTTTTAAAAAATAACTATTTTTGTCATGTTTTCATGTGAATTTGTAATTTAAAAACAAGCCTGCACTTTTACATACATTTTTTTAAAAAAATGAAACGTGTTTGCATTGTAGATGACCAGAAAAATTTATTATTTGACACCTTAACAATTGTTCATAAAAGTCTTCCTTAATCAAATACTTTAAAAAGTAGTTCAGTGGTTGGTAGCAAGAATACAAAACAAAACAAAAAAAGAAAAACAACAACAAAACAACAAACAAAAAACAACAACAACAACAACAACAACAAAAAACCAACCAGTGATTTTAAATTCAAAGGCAAAAATCTTCATGGAAACCTAGTAATATATGTCTGGAATTACTGTTATAGAAGTCTGAAGCCTGTGACTAAATCACTCTATGAATAAGGAAGACCCATATGGAACATTGGGAGCCATGCTCTACAGTTTAGGAATCGGTATGGCTGCCACTGCTATACTCTCGATTGCACACTCATCAGTTCCTCTTCGGATCCGGAAGTAGCCATTCTCACCCCATTGAGTGCCCCAGCTGTTCTTCACAATCCAGTAGTCTGTACCTGTATCTGGATCTTTCCCATAGCCCACAAGCAGAACAGCATGATTTGTCAGCTCAAAGGGGTTGAAAGGGTCTCTCAGCCCAGTGTGGTGGTAGATTCCACTGTGGTAGTGCAGGAAGTCCTCCTCGACTTCAAAGGCAACTGCCATGGGCCCATATTGGACAAGCTCAAGCTTCATCAGGGCTTCATTGCAGCCACCATAGAAACCTCCCACATAGTAATACCGGGAAGAATAGTAGCGGAGACAGTGTTCCTTTGGTTTGCACGGAGCATCTGTAGCTGTGTAGGGAAAGCAGTTTTCTTCCACCACCCCAAAATCTTGGGCATATTTTCCTGCAATGAGATACGGGAACCCTCCATCACAACCTAAGGGTGAAAACACACATGGTTATTACACTTCTGCTGGCCAAAACAACTTCTGCTTTATTCCCTGGAAGTTTTTCTGAGTTTAAATATCACTTCATTCTTCCTTCCTTGGCCATTCATCTAACAACCCTTCCACCCCCAGTATATATTTTATAGGCATTTACTTAACATGTAGTAAGGAATATAGGTACTCTACCATAGCAGCTGAGTACTGGAGTCTCTGAAACTAAAATAGGTTCAAATCCAAAAGTCTGTAAACCATTTAACATTTCTATATCTCTGCTTTCTTATCTATAAAATGTAGACAGCGACAGCACCACCCTCAAGGTTTATAGTAGTTATTTCACATAAAAACAATCACTTTAGTGATTATTGTTATATAGCCTTACATACACACATGCACGCACGCACACACACCCACACACACACACACACACACATTGACTCTCAATCAAATCTCCCATCCCATCCTCACCCTGAACCCATGACACATATCAATAGCTTGTATTTTCATCATTGATCTCATCATTATAATTGATTAACTTTTGTTTCTCTTACCCTAATTGTAAACTTCATGAGCAAAAGGATAGTTTTGATAACTTATAATGTCCAGGGCCTAGATATCACAATATGTTATGTAGTATTTCAGAAAGAATAAATGGCTCACTTACAGTCGTTCACCAGCAGTTTCACTGGAGACCTAGAAACTTTCCAGTGGCCACATCTAGGCTGGCATCAGAAAACTTTAAAACACTAGTATTTTAAATAGTATTTCCTTCAAAATCCTATCTTAATCTTCTGTATAGACTGTTAAATATAGAATGCTAATTTAAATTCTCTTAAAAACACAGACACTATGGCTTCAGTAGGAACTAGATGGTGGAAAGAGACAAAAAAGACCACCATTGGAACCCAAAGCTGCAATACTTTAAAAAAAAAAAAAAAAAAAAAAAAAAAAAATTTGCTCATACTCATTTTCTGTTTGTAAATAAGGTCTATGCCATTTTTTGTTGTTGTTGTCTTGTTTTATTTTGTTGTTTTTTCCCTTAAGATTTATTACGTATAAAGTGTTCTGCCTGCATGTATCCCTACAGGCCAGATGAATGCAGCCGATCTCATTACAGATGGTTGTGAGCTACTATGTGGTCATTGGGAACTGAACTCAGGACCTCTGGAAGAGCAGCCAGTGCTCTTAACCTCTGAGGCATCTCTCCAGCCCCACAGTCCTGCTTTTTATAGTTTGGTACACTGTTAGGTGATATTGTAAGAGGCAATACGCACTTGATATATGACATCTTACTGTAGGATCTACTGTAGGATCTACTGTAGGATACAGAAGATTCCATGATAAACTTTCCACTGATAATTGATCAGGTCAGATTCGCACCTGGTTTTTCTGACTATAGACACTGTACTTTTCTGCTATGTGATAGTTACTAACACACAGTCAAACCATGCATAACATAGCTCTGAAATAATGCATTTACCTTGGGCATACATGCTACAAGATACAACCTCCTGAGGACTCAGGATTGGGGTCTGAGAATTGTTGGTTAATATGCGAATTCTTGCTTCTAGCATACCCATAGAGGCAAATGAATAGCAGCTCCCACAAGATTCTGTAGATAAAGAAAATATATATATATATTATTTATTTATAATTTCACAAAGAATCATGAAAACCTGAGTGAATGAGATACCTTAATATAGGATTTATAATAAGTTTTTTTTTTTTTTTTTTATAGAACTCAATACAATATAGAAGACTCAATTCCCAAGCACTGAATCTGAGATACTTCTTGGTAGTGAAGACTGAATTTATGTCTATAATAGTTTATCCAAAACACTGAGAGAAATATGCTGGAACACATGTGAACTGGATTGGAGAGATGGCTCAGCAGTTAAGATGACTGGCTGTTCTTCCAGGAGACATGCGTTCAATTCCCAGAACCCACATGACAGCTCACAGCTGTCTGCAACAACTATCCAAGGGATCTGATTCCTACATATAGACATACTTGCAGGAAAAACACCTACGTATATAAAATAAAAATAAATTATAAAAAAGTTTGGTAACTACTTTCTTTACAGAAAAGCACTATGAAAGCTATTACGTTTTTAAATGTTAGCAGGATGACTGTTTCTCCTTCTCCAGTTAATGATTTATGAACACCCAGGAGGTAAAGAAAAGCCATGACGTTGTTCAAACTCCATCATCATAAGCCCTGCTTGAAATACTTACAAGATTGTTATTCCTTTCACTAAGCTGGGTATTTCCTTGAGGGCTCTTTATCTTGCCACATGACACTGGAAAGGAGCTCAGTGCATGTTTGTGGAAAGAATGAGTCAAGAGATAACAAGTAAGCACATTTTTGCAATGCAGAAATGAAGCAAATTCAAAGCAAACTATCAACCATTTATTTCTAACCTCTAGAGGAAGCAGAATTTGGGTCCTAATGTGAGTCTCTTTCACAAGTCACAGTGTCACAAGACTGTGAACCCAATCTACTAAGAGCCTCCTTTCTACTTAACTACTGTCCTGTCTCATGTTCGCACAGATTCTGCCTTCTAAAAGTCTCATACTCATCCATGTTACCCACTGCTCTTGCTGCTGAGGGATCATCTAAATTATGAAGATGAGAAGATAAACACCTGTGATGGTGGCTTATAAGAACTACTCTACAATCTAACCACTTGATAACTGAGACCCAGAAACTGAGGCAATGACCTAAATCTAGCAGCTAATCCAGAGGTTCTCAACCTGTGGGTTACATCCCCTTTTGCGGTCAAACAACCTTTTCACAGGGGTCACGTAAGACCACTGGAAAACACAGATAGTTACAGTGTGATTCATAACAATTGCAAAATTACAGTTATGCAGTAGCAATGAAAATAATTTTATGTTGGGGTCACCATAACATGAAAAACTGTATTAAAGCGCTTACAGAATTAAGAAGATTGAGAACCACTGAGCAAATCAATAGCAGATGTTAGTACTTTGTTTTCTCTTCTTGTTGAGCTGTTGGCCTTTGCATTTTTTTAAGTCATCAGAATGTTGAACCATTACTTTACTTATTTGTGACCAGAGGATAAGGTCTGTAAGTAGAAAGACTGTTCTTTATTCACCTTATTCACAGAACTGCAAAGAAAACCCCATATTTTCTTTTCTTGTTTGGCTTTTTGATCTTTAAAAGTCTGTTTCAGATTTCTTTCCTTGTCACATAATCAGTTCATAGAAGATTAATTTCAACTTTGTGGTTTCCAAACGATCTAGAAAATACTTCCTTGGGACTCTTTCTTTAAACAAGGGAATATAAAAGAACAGATGTGTGGCCAAATAACCAAAGTCACTATTGCTCACTGGAGATACTTAAAGTCCTATACACCATCTAGCTTCCTCAGCTTTTAACAGCCATGGAGATAAAACCTGTGAGTATTAATTATTAAACCCCTGTTATCTGACCATCCTGCACAATGGGAGGGACAAGTCACAAGAACAGTCCCATGGCTCAGAAAGTGCTTTGTTTTGAAATCACAGGAATGTGAAAATCCCCTTTAGGTCCTTGACTTTCTGGGAAGATTGTCAACTGCTCAGATAATCATTGCCTCCTTTCAACCAGAAAATCCAGTCTGATTCCAAAAGAAAAATAGTATGTAAGACAAAGATAATGGAATAAATAAGAAGGGGCCTCTCTCAAAGGCTCTGCATGTGACTGCACTTCTACAAAGAGATAGAACATAGTATCCTCATCATACACATCCTCCTGCAGTGGGAGCAGCACAGAAAAGTGACAGTTCTCGCCTCTCTTGCTTTGCCCCTCATTAGCCATGTGACCCTGAGCAAGTCACTTAGCCTTTGGCATTTCTTTTCATTTTAGTGCAAACATAAATTAGGTAGAGCAAACGATTTAAGGGCCTTGTCTTCCTGCTCTAATGAACATTTATAGCCAAGACTTAAATAGAGTGGATTCGAAATATCAGGAAAACCCTACACATTAGCTAATATGATCATGGAGAGCCACTCTCATTCTCCCAGATACAATAACACCGGGTGGGAAACAAAGTAAATCCATCTCACTTAGTTTCCCATCTTCTCTCCCCTCTTCCACCCCACAGTTAATCTAGCTGTAAAGCATTTTTAAAAGCTGTTTTAAAGTGTACAGCTTCATCTTTCCAATTATTTCTTTTTAGTTTAATCTTAATTTGGTCACGGACTAAAGAATTCCCTTAACTATGGCCAGTTTGGAATTCTGTACTTTAAAGGAGACTAGTATTGTGAAAGTGGGATATTTCCAAGTACCCCAATTAACAGGAAGAGAAAAAAAGAATAGTGTCTTTTCCACTCTTAAGTCTAAGAAACACATGAAAAAGTCCAAATAGGAACTTCTAAGCATATTTACTTTCCACAAGCATCTGATATGCCAGTTCCGATAAGAGATTGATTGAATAGCAATCAATCTATAAAAGACTTGTATCTTGAAATTGCCCTTTTTTGGTACAAATCATATTTACAACACACAAAGAATAGAAAGATTTGGGGCAATAAAAGTTTGTTACCACCTCTCAGGAAAGCAATGTCAAAGAACTTCCTTCAAAATGTCTCATTTCCTTCCCCTGGATTAACGTCTCATTTTACCTGTTATCCATACATGTGGGGGTAAACTTCCCCACTGAATTCTGCAATTCCCTTATTAATGTAATTACCATGTTGTACTTTAATGTTTTTCTTGTATATCCTTCTAAACTCTAACTCTTGGGAACAAGAGCTGCTAATCTTTAAATACTCTGCTATTATTAAAAAGCTTCTTAGGGGATGGAGAGGGGGCTTAATGGATAAAGTGCTTGTTATGCAAACACAAGAACCTGGGTTCAGAATTCCAGGAGCCATAAGAAAGCTGGGCGTGGCAACACAAGTCTGTAACTGAAGAACTGGGTTGATGGAATCAGATAGGAGGCGGTCTGGGCACCAGGGCAGTGAAAAATGGTGTTTCAAACAATAAGGTGAAGCTTGATGATAAAGACAGCTTCAGCAACCTCTGGTCTCCACACACACAGGTGAATGTAACCACACACACACACACACACACACACACACACACACACACACGTACCTACATTGCACACACACATACACAAAATCTTCCTAACTAATATAATTACTATAAGTAATAGAAGATGAGTATCAATGCATTAGCAGCTCACACTACCAATTGCTATGCGCCAGACTGTCAATAATGTCAATAATGAAATCAGCACAGGACATTCCTCACTTCCCTAATCTCTCAAGTAGGCACAGACTCTCCTAAGTTAGGGATCTATTGCTGTGTTACAACATCATAACCAAAAGCAATTTGGGGAAGAAAGGGTTCATTTCATCTTACATCTCTAAGTAATGGTCTATTATAAAGGTAAATCAGAGCAGGAACTCAAGGCAAGACCTGATGCACAAGACTTCAATTGATGTTGAAGAGGTCTGCTTACTGGTTTGCTTCTTATGTTTTTTTCAGCTTTTCTCATAGCACTCAGGTCCACCAAGCTCATGAGTAATACCTCCCACAGTGATCTGGATCTTCCCACATCAGTCATCAATCAAGAAATGCCCTACAGGTGGCCCACCAGCTGGCAGAAGCACTTTTTACAACTAAGGTTCCTCTTCTCAAGTCTCTAGTTTGAGTCAAGTTGACACAAAACCAGCCAGCAGTGGTCTATTTAATGATCAGGTAAATTTAAATCCTCTGCAGGCTGATGACAGATTAGAACATTATTCTAGGGAACAGTTTGAGAGCCCAGATTCTCTTTGGGTATCTTTAGTGGCCCCAACAGTTATTTACATACCACTGCTGTAATCTGAACTAATATCTTTTGGTTATAAGGTAACCTCTTTGGAATATACTAATTAACTAACTTAATAGCAAACCACAATTTTCTATTAACTCCAAATCTAGGAATATCATCAGATAGCATCTGAATTTCACAGTTGGGAATTGTCATCTTTGCTGTAACCAACCTACCTGATGTTCCCATCAACTTATTTGGCAAGTACACTCATTTTATAACATTGTCTTGCTCTATGACTATAAAACATTGTGTTTTGAAATGTAATGACCCCTTACCATAGAATGTCTCATTCAGAAAAAAAACTACCATGTTTGTTTATGTGTCAAAAAGTTGGTTTATCAATTACTTGCCATTTTCCTTCATTTCCCTTCTTAGGAAAGGGTAAAGAATTTCTGGATGTATGCCTTCTCTAGAGGCAGTGAGATCCAGGAAGATTAAGGGGAACATCCCTGGCATCAAATGAAGGATGGAGGTCTTTGCACTGGGTGAATCCAGACCTGATCAAAACTTCCAATACTCAGAACTCCATCACCGAGGAATTAATGGTAAGACATGAAAGAGATTAATACAAATATATTTTTAGAAAAGAGAGAATTTATTTTTCAAAATCATACTTTTGTAATTATAATCTTCATTTGATAAAAACCTTGAATATTTCCCCATGTTTCTGAGGGTGAATGCATTTAGTAACTCTCCTTTAGCAAACTTGCAACATCTACAGATAAAACCATTTTGTTGTTGTTGATATGTTACATTTCATAGTAACTAACAAGTAGATTATCTTCAAATTGAATGTGTGCATTTTTTTACCAGTTGAGTGTCCTTTAAAAATCTGCAATCTAATATGTTAACCAGCATTGAAACTTATTTTAATATCACAAAACTTTTTAGAGTTTTATGTTTGGAGCATTTCAGATCAGGTGTATAACCTGCATTAATGAGTCTACTATATGCAATTGTTGAGTAAAACTTAGGAAAGTAAATTATCTGTTATCATGTACAGCTAAAGGGAGTTTTATAATTGCAAAATTAAATCAACTCATGACTTAGGAAATTGAGTTAGTCCATTCCATTATAAGCCATATTTTTGATACATAGGGAATTAAAAAGTCCATATACAGCTCAAGAAATCTAAGATTGTGTGGTAATTAAAGATAACATAATGGAAGAAATAGGAGGGCAGATACCAGAAGAAATTCAACAAACCAGTTTAACTTCCATTGGAAAGAAGACCAGTTTAATTGCATACAATTATTTGTTTCCACAGGAGTGTCTCCTAGCAGCCAGGTAAATGAGTCCTACTTATCACACTGGTGAAATTCATATTGAGAAATGTTGAACTCAGCTGAAAAGATTATTTTTTAGCACATTTTGTCATTGATGCAAAGGAAGGGAGTAAGAATTAAAAGGCCACATTTTTTTTTTTTTAAATGCAAGATCATACTCTACAGTGTAGGCTATCTACCAATTGGCAGTCCTCCCTTCTCAGCCTCTATGACATATGCCACCATACTTGGCCTCCATCTGTATACTAAAGTGAAAAGATCATGGCCATCCCTTTCCTATATCTCTAAGTCCATCCTACAGACTAATACAAATAAGTATTCAATTACCAACAGCTTGAGATATGTGATGAAAACTCAGACTTTGGTTACTTTTACCTTGGTTTCGAACAGGGCTAACATAATTGACACCATTGACATTTCTCCAGTCCCAAGATTCTGGCAAATTAAAAATCTGTTTCTGTAACTCTTCAGTCATTGGGGCAGGTTTAGGCCTAGAATGAAAATACATATTTAATACCATCATAAAATCTCTCCTTAAAGATCATCTTCTAACCTCTGATTCCAAGGTTTAAACCACCAGATTAGCTAGTGCCTTCACTGAGAACCAAAGACCACTTGTCCTATGAGTGATCCAATGGGGCCATTACACAAACTGTTAATTACATAACTCAACTGCATAAATAGCTTTCATTTCTTGCAGATTTATAGGATCTAGTCACTTTCCTTGTGCAGTGAGAGTCAGTTTTAGGACGCTTAAACAGTTACATTCCCTTACTTTTAGGAAATGTTGGTCAAGAAAGGAGATGCAAGTTAAAGATGTTCATTTAGAGAGTCCAGAGAAAACATTGAACTAACTGGTATTTGACTCATGAGGTAGTGATGGTTTCACACTTACTATGTGGCATTCTGCAAAGAAGTTTAATGTCACAAACTACTGTTTATTATTAAGAAAATAGATATACCTATTTCAAAGAATTTTTACAAAAATTCAATGGAATAGTAATTACACTGAAACTCAAAAATGAAGACATACTTGTAAATGATAGCTACAATGACTACTACCACCATCGTATATATCACTCAGAGTACTAAGTAAGATAGTGGTGCTGTGAAATGACTTTTTGGTACAAACTATATATATTAAATTGCAAACTTCTGTTTTCTTTCCAACCTATAAGGATGAGTATTTGACCACAAGGCACACACATTAAAGAAAATACAAATTGGAAAGAAATGTTACATGGGCACAAACAGAAAGAGAAAGTGGAGTTTAGGGGTACTAACATAAGAATTAGAAATACTTTACAGATACTATCCATTGAGGCCTTGGGCCTCAATGCCTTAGGGACCCTGTGAAATGTCTGTGTCAGAATGAATGTCTGTGAGAACTCTGTATCAGAGAGTTGCTCAGAAGTATAATCTTTGTGTGTGATTGCATTAGTTCATTGACTTCTTAAGCCCCAGCTTAATGATATTTGAGACTTTCTACTACAGAAATATATATTTACACCAGAATCAACTTATATACAAAAATTCTACTGGAAATCAAGCAGACTTTCATATTTGCTTTAATATTTCCTTCTCCATATGAGTTCTATCTTATGTTAAATTTTCTATGGCACTCTAGTGGTATTCATAAAACAAATGGTGTGTGGACAAAGTCTAAGAGAAAAAGGGAGTCCCCCTGAAATACAGCATGTAATACATGAGAAAACAGTGGTTCGAGGCTCAGTCTCAGATACAGCAAGCCTCTGCCTCCATTGCTAATCCCTCTGGTTCAGGTTTCTGTTAAACAAGTCTCAATGTTTTCTCACAGGCACATTAGGATTCTGCTTAATGAACCCACTACAATACATTCCTTGTCCCAGGTTTGACCAACTAGAGCAGCTCATGTACTAGAAGCTCCTAGAACAGGCTTTGAGAAATATCATAGAACCCTCTTTTTTTAGAAGGGCAGATTATGAGAAGGGTATTATAAGTTGAATAAGAAAAAGTCCATAGTTTCTCATAGTTAACTGTCCATTGAATAGAGCTCATTAGTCCAAAAACAAATACATTAGAGATATATCTCAATTAGTTCAAAGAACTGCATCACTGGGTAGCTTATTAAATAGAAAAAGAAAATCAGATTCTATAAATATTAAGGAATTAACTTTTGAATGCTCTCAGAATGGAAGAATATTTTCATATATTAAGAGAAAATAATCACTCTAGATAACTTATCAACCCCAAAAGTTCCCTACTGGTTTCTAGTTCCCTTGTCTTTAGCCATGTTGGTTTCTCCTGAAGAAAGGTTTGGCATCACAATAGTAGCTTCAGATGCTTAATAAATGGTAAAGAACCACAAATCCACTTCTAGATCCAGCCACAGTTCTAGAAAGGGAATGCAGAATACTCACATTCTTACTTGGAGAAATACAAAATAGTATATATAATTCCCAAAGCATGAAGATGAAGTATCCAAAGAAAAGATGGCAAATGCTACCAAAGCTCAAGAACCACAAATCCACTTCTAGATCCAGCCACAGTTCTAGAAAGGGAATGCAGAATACTCACATTCTTACTTGGAGAAATACAAAATAGTATATATAATTCCCAAAGCATGAAGATGAAGTATCCAAAGAAAAGATGGCAAATGCTACCAAAGCTGTGGCTAAAGAGGTGGGGATGGGTGGAAGTGTATGGAGAAATAAGGAATTATTATTTTTTCCTTAACCCTAAAGCACTGTATTTTCAGTGGCAAACTTGACAGTTATTAATAGCAAGCTGAGAGATACCTGAGGGAGCAGAAATAGAGGCAGAAAATGGAGGAAAAATGAAAATAAATTTTTCAAGAATATTTATCATAGGTTTTGAAAGCACACTTAGGGTCCCATGTAGATTAGCTAGGGATAGCAAGGATGAGTCTAGTGCTTAGATTGTGGTCAGGAACAGCTGTAGCTGGGGACAGGAAAGTGAAACTGGCAACACTGGCAACATTTCAGAGAATGGCTAAAATTGACAATAAGGAGAAGAGACAAGCCAAGACACAGGAACTAAAAGATTGGACACAGGCATGATCTCAAAACATGATTTGGGCAAATATACACAAATATGAAGGAAAATAGAGGAAAAAAGGCAACAAAAATTCCAATAAATTGCTTTCCTAATTAAACGATGGGCCATCCTGGTGGGACTTGAGTGGAGAGAGAATGACATTCAGTACTGAAGTTCTTACTAGTGACAAGAAGAGGCACTGTGTTACCTTGGGATTCTTTGGCTGTGGCCACCACTTCTCCTGATCAGATCTCTTAGGCTCAGTTTCTCATATTCCTCGTACATGGTTGCAGTCCAAGACTTCTGAACTGTGTTGATGGCCTTCACAAAGTTGTAGTCATAACTGTAGAGCCTATTGGAGTATCTGCCGACAAAGGGACATAGTTTCACATGTAGTCTTCTCTGGTAATATGACTCTCCAATAAAACTGATCCTTATACCGTTTGTCAAAGAGAGACTGGTGTAGTCTTTTAGGAATACAGTTGGCAGTAGAGAAGAGTTGAAAGATGTTATGTCTCCCACAAAATTTAAATTTAACAAGCAGGATGAGTGACAATATTCAGTAGAATACTCATGTACTAGTGATAGAAACCACCTAGATCAATGTCCTAAAATAAGAAACTTATTAATGTAAATGATAGTTAATTTATATGTATTTCATGCTTATAAGATGTACAGAAAATTATGTAGTAATATGAAGAGAATTTACTTTGTATTAATTTTTAGAAGGTAAAGTTTATAACTAATCAATTCTTAGACAATTTTATATACAATTTCTTTTAAAGTCCTATTTATCTTTGTAGATAGAATGAGAGTATTATTTTTTCTGCACGTCCCTTTTACATATTTATTTATTTTAGAGACAGGCTTTGAACACAAAATTATTATGTATCCAAAAATATTTTTGTACTTCTGCCTCTCCTGTCTCTATTTCCTAAGTGATGGGGTTACAGGTATGCATCCCTACACATGGTTTATGCAGCACTGAATGCAGAATCCAGGGCTCGATGCCTGCCAATCCGATCCTCAGGCCCTGCATCTGCCCTTTCAAAGTGCACATTTATAATATGTTACATGAACTATAGAGAAGAACAAAAGGTATATGTCCACATGCTTTATAAATACACAATTTTTAAATATTAATCTGTATAGGTGTTTTATGCCCTTACTACTAAAATCCAGTATCAGCAGGCATATCTGAGAACTTTTAAGCAATGTGGACAATACTAAACTCAGATCCCTAAAATAGGAATCTGAAATAAGTTCCCCCATGTGATTCATAAAAACATCAATGTGAGAATCATTTTTCTATTTTCTAATGATATATTATTTATAATTTATTAAAGCCTGACTGAGGATTCAGGAAAACAAAGAGCATTTTTTAATGTTAATTATTCACTGAATTCCAACATTAGACAAACCTATGTGTCCATGGACAGCAAATATATAAGTGATTGCTATACTTCTATTGTAAAACACTCTATGGTTTGAGTAAATGTAATTCATCTTCAAGACTTTCACCAACATTCAATTATACAAAGTAAGATGCACCCAACCCAAGAAACACCTAATTTAGGCACTCTGTGAACTTTTCCTTCACATTTCCTTCACATTTGTAGACAAAGTATTTTGATAGAGTCAGGGAAACAAAGAACAGTGCAAAGAAAACTGTATACCATGTTGATAACCATTTTATCAGAGTTCTTTGCAGTTGCTGCAATATGTAACAGCAAAGAACCCTGTATTAGATAAGTTATGAAGCTTCTCCAGACTTAACCCAACATTAACAAGAAGCTATAGGGTTTTGGGGTTTTTTGGTTTGTTTAGTTGGTTGGTTGGTTGATTGGTTTCATGTTTTATTTCTTTACACACAAGAGTAAAATTTAAAATATAAGGGAAATATTTTTAAAAATATTTTCCACCAAGTCTGTTTTCCCCAGACTATTAAATTTGAGAAGTGTTTCTTCATGCATTCCTTACTTAACCATAATAGCTAGGAGAATCTCATATACGCTACATGCATTACAGTAATGACAGGATGCCATCATAGCTTAAATGCTATTTTTGTTGCTTAAGAGTCAAGGAGATTAAAAAAAAAAAAAAGTTCAAGTCAGTAAACATTCAAGTGTGGATGGGGTGGGACTCAGAAGACCACATACCTATCTGAGAGCTATTGACCCATGATGGCTGAGGGGGAGGAAGAGTCAGTTCTCTTTATGGGCATGGCCTCAGAAAAGTTGCCAAGCTCCAGTGGAGGATTCACACCTATGTGCATACAAGCATCTCAAATCCGACTCCATAAGTTTAAAGGAAAAGCAGGCGAAGAAATGGATATGACTTTTGAAGGGATCATGGGAGGTGGTCTGAGAGAAGTTGGAGTGGATAAGTGGAGGGTAGATAGAGAAAAATACATTATATATATGTATGAAGCTCTGAAAGAACAGATATAAATAAAATATAATAATGTATCTAATATTAGGTAACATATCACTAAGAGCTGAAAGATATCCTAAAGTTAATTTGATCTCAAATGGTATTGCAGGGGATATTCTTCATTAAACAATGCAGTGTTTGAAAGGTCTAATCAAGACTACCAGTACATTGTGCACCAGAAAAAAATACAAGGTGAACAGCTGAACAGCTTATAGGAAGCTATAATGCAAAAAACAAAAAACAAAAAACAACAACAAAACATTCAATTCACAACAACTACAAAAAGATGGACATTTGGCTTAGCAATTAAGAGCACAGGCTGTTCTTCCAGAAGACTTGGGTTCATTCCCCAGCACCCATATGGCAACACACAATCATATACAACTGCAGCCTTAGGGGATATGATGATTTCTTCTGGCCTCCAGGGACATCTGACATGTATGTGGTACAGTGACATACATGTAGGAAAAATGCCAATACATATTTAAAAATAATGAAGAAAACAAACTACAACAACAGAAAACATTATATAGAGATTAAAAGAAAGAAACATGCCACATAAATTTACTTAAACACTAAACTCAAAGGGAGAGCTGAATCAGGTTCTATTTATGTTAGCCCTCTGAGAGATAAGAGTAAATCATCTCTCTGGTCACATCTTCCATGACCTCTCTGTTCCTCATGGAGGTCATCTGCCTTTGAATGTTTGGGTCATATGTACTTTCAGTGGCTTTTAGAGCTAAACGAAATGGAAAAGAAAATAATACTTATGGATCTCCTTCTTGCAAAACCAGTAATGTCTGAAAATTAGCAGACACCTGAATGAAAATAGTAATTGCATTTTACAGGCTGAATTGTATCTCTTGGAAAGGGAAGGGAGAAATATAGCAATTATATTACCACCTCAAATAAATAAATAAGCAATTAAAATGCCATACTTAAAACCCTTACCTCCAATATCTCAGCCTGAGATTAGATTTGGAAATAGGTCTTTAAAGTGGTAATAAAGGCTAAATGAGGTCATTAGTGTGGGCTTTGGCCTTACTAACTAGGGTCCTGAGATGAAAAGTTTAGGACACAGCAAAGGAGGCCACATGAGGAGACAGTGGAAAGAGGAGCTACCAGCAAGCTAAGAAGAAACCAAGTCCTGGCCTTAAAAACCCACAGCAAAAAACTCTCCTCGAGGCCACCCAGTCTGCAATGCTTCTTCATGACAGCCAGAGCAAATAACACACTGCAGAAAAACCAAGAACTTTAATTTCAGTTGCTTGTTGTGTTTACAGTTTGTTGAGTTTGTTACTGAACACTCATTGTAGCATGATCATATATATGTATACATATTATTCAAGATATTACTATACCACAACCAATGAAATAATTTTTCTTTACTAGTAATTTGCAATTGTGTTCCTTTGATCATGTTTTTACTTTTAAGCATTCCCTATTCCATTGGTTTTGAAATTTGTTGAAATATTACTCACTTTTCCTGGAGACTTCCAAGGTGTGCCACATTCACAGCAACTTTCTCCAAAGGACTTCCCACCTTCTTGCCAGAAAAGCAAGCCCAGTTCCGGCCAAGCACATCATGGACCCATCCAGTCATGGTCTCGTGGCAGTAACTGATGACTTTGCTGCCTTTGATTTCATACTGCAACCAAGTGGAAACATGAAAGAGCAATTACATCTATTCTTGGCTCTCAGTTCTCTTTCCCTGGCTCCTATTTACCCTAAAGATGCATTGTGGCCCTCTGCCAAGCAAAATAAAAACTTTACATGAGCTGATAATGTCCTGATAATCATTCTAGAAAGCAAAGGACCCACTTTTTCTAAGATCAGCATTTTTGGCCTGCAAACAAAATGTACTTCTAAGAAGGAAGACTGGTTGTGGAAAAACTCACATACTTGAAGGAATTATCATATCCAAGGCAGTTTGCATTTATTTTTCACTGTCAGTCTATGAAAAAATAATAAACAGTCCTGTATTTCTGGTGACCATTCAGGGAAAGACATCTTTCCTCCTGAGGCCACAGAGATACCTGGCAGGAATAGTTTCCTCCTCTGCTATATTGTCAGAAGAGGCTCTCATCAGTAGAATATAAGACCGATGGCAAATATTTTTCTGGGTAGCTAAACTAAATCCTCTTTCGCTGTTAATCTCCTGATGTATTAGAATATGCCCATTATGAGGTACTTAATTATTATCTCTACTTTATTTCAGTAATGTGGCCCTTTGCCTGCTCCCATGTTAACACTGAAAGAACACTATGCAGTAACAGAACCAGGTTTGAATTCAGACACATTGGCTCTACAGCCCTGTTACTTTCATGTAGTGACATCTCATCCAGGAGGAGAGCATGATCAGAATGAGCATGTAGGGAGGTAGACAGAAAAAAGAAAGGCGTGGTCATAGGTTTAACTTGTAGAAACTTGAAGAAGATTCTATTAGGCCATATTCATCTGTAAAACAAGGGCACCAGAAAAAAAAAAAAAAAAAACACCCAAAAGTATAACTCAGGGAATCAGGGATCCAGTATTAAGTTGATAAATGGACAAGCACAAATGCTTTGGGCTACACAATGTCAAAAGTTATTCTCTCTGCTGGACTCTGTCACACAACTTGAGAGGTTGCGTTTAATAAAAAAAAAAAAAAAAAATTGATGAAATTATTCCAACACACAATGTACTTATCAAGATCTTGGGCAACTTGAGAGACAGCCCTATTGAACTACATAAAACTTGTTATTAGTAGAGTAAATATTGGTGACCTTATACAATACACCCTGAATTCCCTAGACTTTAATCATGTGTTTCTTTTTTGTACTAGACTTTGGTCCTATTCATTAGTTTTTTCTCATTTGCTAAGACAGGCCAGGTAGACCTTAGAGAGCCAATGCTGACTGGAGAGCATCCTGAAATGTTCCAAAAACCTTGAAGTTTTCTTTACAGCAGTCTCTCTCTCTCAGTCTCCTTCCCTCTCCCCATAGCAGTATGTCAGTAAATGTTTACTTTAGTATAATAAAATAAAAAGAAGGCTAAATAAAATGTTTCAATTATAAAAGTGACAACATTTTTATTATCTAATGATATTTTGCATGATTAATAAGTTCTGTAAGAAAAAGTTCCTCAACCAAGGTTCTGGAAAACTGGGAAATGTGTCTCATACTGCAAAGCAGTTTTTTTGGACTCCTGGGAGCATGGCCATCTATTAAGTCATTGCATACAGCTGCTTTTCTATGACAAAGGCAGAAACCCCTCTATTTTATAAAAGCTTTACAGAGTCCTTATCCATCCTAGGGGTCCAAGACAACATCAAAATAACTCAGAGAGCAGAAATAAAGGATCTAAAAGGTTTGTTAAACTAGTGTTTAATACCAACCACTACTATAACCAAACATTGTTTCCTACATCAAGCCATGCTTCTTCATATACTGCTCTTTCCCAAGCTGCTAGAGTAGTCAACGACACAGAGGAGAAAATCCAGGAACTACAGAGAAAAGTTCCCAGTGATGCATCCCTCTGTGTTATCCCAACCTCACCATAATGTCTTGGGATAAGGAGAACTATTTCTTCCTGTATTAAAGGTGGTCCTGCAAGTCACAGCTAACACTCATTTGTTGTTGTTCATTTTGTTTTTTAACCCATTGGCTCATCACCAATTCTAGCTCTTTGCTATTCTTGCCAATGGCTCTTTACTGCAGAACAGAGGTGAAAGATACCTAAGACCTGGGAGGCTTGAAATGCCTAGAGAGACTCCATCTCCACTACTCGGGCCTGGATGATCCTGTGACAGTATCTTCCATCTGTGCTTTGACTGGCAAAGCGCAGTTGATAGCAAGAGACCTCATCCCACTGACTGTGTGGGATGTATTCGCCCTCAAGAGACCTCTATGTTTATTCTTCCCCACGAGGCATAAGCTTTGGTAAAATCAGATTTTTGCTTATTTACTATCTAGGAAGCTGCCTGGCAATAGGAAGCAATTGATTATTGAATGAGTGAATAAGAAAAAAAATGAACAACAAAGAACAAGTCTTATTAAGACTAATTTCAACATAGGCTTACAAAATTCAGGAAAGGTAAGGAATTAATAATTAATAGCAGAGTTGTAATGTCAAGTATCCAAGAGCCCAGAAGCAAACAGTGTGTCTTTAGAAATACCCACTCTGCTCTCCGGGCCTGTTTATGCTGCGAATCCAGGTTCACCTAACAGTCCCAAACACATTTCCCTGGAACTTCCAACCTGTACAATCTCACGTCTATGGTTCTACACAAGATTAGCAAAGTCTGATAAATAACTGTTATTGCATGCACTTTAATTTATGTACATAGGAGTAATTTTTAAAAACATAAAAGTGGGTTATTTAACTCAAATCCAATAAATAGACTATAACTGGCATTTGCAATCACTTCTGATGTATGAATCCTTTTCTCTTTAAACTTGTGTTTTATATTATTCTGTAGCTAGAGGAATCTGTTCTTATTCTTTTGTTAACCTGAAGTCACCCTGTGAGAGGCAAGGCATGGTGGCACAGATAGGGCAGGCCTGTACAGAGCAGACCTAAGAGGTAGAAAGAAATGAGGCACTGATCAGGTTAGCTTAAAGGTCAAGCACAAGAAACCTTAACATGATGGCCCTCCCCAGAAGGAGTCTATTAGCTCCTTGATTTGAAAGTTCCCAGGGTCTCTTCCAGCTACACTGAACTCTTAATGTTTGTGAGAATGAAGAGGCCACATTATCCCACAATAAGTGTAGTCATTTTTCCCCCTCCAAAGAATTTTCTTTTTTTCATTTGTATCAACATTGGTCTCTGGAGACTGGCTTGCATAGATGAGACAATTTAAGTTTCCATTCACATTTGCCAATTCCTACTGTAACAAATGGAAAATTTGCTACAATTCAAAGGCCTTTCAAAATGTAGTGTTTAAGTTCAGAGAACTGCTGTGCCAGGGGCTCTTCTTCTTCAAAGTTCCTATTAAATTGTCATATATTCTCCAAAGTCCTTCCATAACCCCCAACCCCACCCCACCAACAAAGTTTTATCAGCTTTCCTGGCTCTAACCTAGCAATATTGACTTTCTGGGGATATTTTATATATTGAACTATTTATTCTATACCTTTTTTTCCTGTTTTTTGATACTTCAAAAAAAAATTTTTTAAAGTCACTAAAATATCCTTCATTGCTTCTCTGGACATACTTTACAGCAAATATTTGAATGCTTATTTCACATAGATCACTGGTCAAGAGACACCAACAACCAATAATTTTGCTTTTGAAAGGCCAGCTCTATAACTTATCATTCATGAAGCTTTGAGGAAGTTATGATCAGGAAGTCTCTCTTTGTTTTTGACTGAAATGGGCAAGATAGCCATGACTGATCCTTCTTTACTGGACTGCTAGGAAGAATTAAAATAATGCTAAAGTTTAAAGAATATGAAATACTTTATAAAGCTCCGTGGAAGTAACAATATAAGCACACATAAACAATTGTAAAGGCAACAGAAAAGGTATTAAGACATCACCTGTTGCTGTAGCTGCATAGATATAAATAGGTAACAAATTTGTTTAACACTTCATTTATGCATTCAGACAACTTATACTTCATTTCAAATAGTCAACTGAGCTCTTTCTTTATTTAAAAGGCTGGTAGTGGTGCACACCTAAGACACAGCACTCCAGAGGCTCCTGCAGTGTAAATTTAGGCAGTAACACAGCAGCATTATTTTTTGGGAACAAGATTCTCATAATGATTTTCTTTCATTATTAATGATAGCATCTGAAGCGACTTTTTCCAATATACACTGCTCATTTAATCATTTAACATCTTATACACACTATAACATTACTATAACGTGGTCCACTCATGCAGTGGGTCTGGAAGACTCATCCATCAAGCTGATTTACTATTTCACAGAATGGAACAGCAGAGATGTTTGAGAACTGAATGATAAATATGTGTATAGAGATATACAACATCTGAGCAACACTGAAAACCAGGGAATGTCACTCAGCTTTTTCCCTTTCTTTTCCTCTCCTGGTGATAATCACCTAATGCAAAGTGAACCACTTCATTTGCTGCTGTTTACAGTGTGAAGAAAGTGTTAAGAAGCAATAAGGCTATTTTGACCAAATCCATATTTGGCGAAATCCCTCTCTCCAAACTACTACAGCTTTCTCAGAAAGAAGCCTACTTCCCTAATTCTGTTCCAAGAATAAGCATCGGCATTCTGCCTATTAACAAGACTAAACAGTTTATTTAAAAAGTTGAATTTTAATCAAATGCAAAGCTGCCAGGAAGTTGCAACCAAAGTGATCATACATTTTAAACTGGGAAATACTGGCATTTAGAGTCAAATATAAAAACAGAAGATGTTAAATTTGATTGTTACCTATGCTGAAGATACTTGACTTAAGTTTAAAAAAGAATTTCAGAAATAACTAGAAAACTATCATTTACCATACAGCAAAGCAGTCAGCTCATTCTTAGTACCTTGTTTACAAAGTCTCAACTGTGAGTTTGGAAGAAAACATGAAAGCTCATTAAACTGTTAATTACTTTCAAATCCTTCATATGCACAGCAGAGGTAGTGCATAGCCTATTCTCTCCAGGCTAGTTAAAATAGGAACCACCCCAGACACAAAAATCTCTCT